ATCAACTTCTGATTACAGTCATACAGCTTCAGAAGATTGTCCTTCATGGTAACTGAGAAACCTTTCTCAATTAATTGTCCCACACTCATCAGATTGCTTCTGATGCCAGGTACATACCACACATTCTGAATCAATGCTATTTTTCCATTGTTCAGAGTCACTCTGACATTTCCCATACCTTCTGCATTAAGATATTTGTCATCAGCACATCTGATCTTTGTTCTCTTTTCAGAGTCAAAGTCAACCAGCCATTTCTTGTTTCCAGTAAGATGATTTGAACAGCCAGTGTCCATATACCACCAGTCTGTCAGATCATCAGATTCAGAGGCCATCAATAGCACAGATTCGTCATCAGAACTTCTGGCTATATTTGCTTCTTCTGATTTCTTCTCCTTGTTTGACCAACAATCTCTAGCAAAGTGACCAAACTTCTTACAACAGTAACATTGGATCTTCTTCTTGTCATACTTCTCTTTTCCCTTCTGAGCATTCTTTTGTCTATCAGAGGTTGAGCTTTCTGACTTCTGACCACCATCAGATCTTCTCCTGGCTTCTGACTGCTTCTGATACCTCCTATCAGAAGTTGCTTTCAGAGCCTGCTGCTCTACTTCCCTTTCAGAAGTTCTTTCAGTCAAACGCAACTCTTGCGCTTCTAAACTGCTCTGCAGCTCTTCAATTCTCATGGTACTCAGATCTTTGGAATGTTCTATTGCTACCACAATGTAATCAAATTGAGAGGTAAGGGATCTCAATACCTTCTCCATGATTGTTTCTTCAGAAAGAGTTTCTCCACACGCCTTCATCTCATTAGTGATCAGAATCACTCTGGAGATGTATTCAGAAACTTTCTCATTATTCTTCATGTTGAGATTCTCATATTGCTTTCTCAAGGACTGAAGCTTCACCTTCTTCACTGATGCGTCACCACCATAACATCTCACCAGAGTGTCCCATGCAGCCTTTGCTGTTGTAGAGTCTGCAATCTTCTCAAACACGTTTACATCCACACATTGATGAATGAAGAACAATGCTTTCTGATCCTTCTTCCTTACTTCCTTCTGCGTGTTTTTCTGTTCATCGGTTGCATCTGCTGCTACTGGAACATAACCATCAGTGACAAGATCTAGAACATCTTGAGCACCAAATAGTACACGCATTTGGATCATCCAACGATTCCAGTTTTTACCATCAAATACTGGAAGTTTGGTGTTCATGTTGCCGTTTCCGTTCATCTTCTACTTTGCACAATACACTCAGATTTCTCACACAGTGTTTCCCAACCCACAGAATAAAATTCTGATCAGATTTTGTTCAAGATTCAACACGAATCTAAGAATCAAAATCAAACACACAAGACCTCACGTTCACTCGTGTTTCCCGTGTTTCCCAATGAATCTGAACCGGAGCTCTAGATACCAATTGTTGGTGCAAAGATAGAATGATGAAAATAGGGAAATATTCTATTAAAGAGAATGACGGCAGAAGAAACAGGATTAAAAGTTACAATGATTGTCACCCTATTTATAGGCTAAAACTAGGGTTACTAGAATAAGATAAAATACTAAAATACCCTCTAACAAACTTAGGGGCTAAGAAAAATAGTACAACTAAATAAATATGAATTATTATTAATATTCTAATACAACTATGATTTATCTGAATACTTGATCACTCCTACACTTGCTTAAATGTCAAAGATACCAAACCAAAACAAAATAGTAAATTGTAAACCTTGTGTGGGTTTTATATACATGTGCGGTGAGTAAACTTGCTTCCCACATTTCCCGTTAGAATGAGCATAGCAAATGGACGAAACATCATCTCCAATATACAATCTGTGTATTTACTGATATACAATCTACATATTTACTGATATACTTTTCACATGAATAGTAGTTTGCAAAATGGATTTCATTTCACATTGAATAAGTTTGCAAAACTAAAATCCATGGCATATGTAGTTTGAAACTATATATGGTCCCTGAATGTATGAGACGCTGTAAGACCTATTGTAACCGTTCACAACTAACTATGCTTTCAATTGGACAGCTAGTTAAATTCATCTTTGATTCATACATCACTATCTATGTTACTTGGTACTGCTTCTGGCTACCTCATTGCATCACAAATTCCGAGCTGGATTTTCAAACATCCTCAGCACAATGTAACTCATGTAGTCAAGCTCCTTTGTTCTATATAGGCGCTCCAGAGCATTGTAGCAAACAAGACTATCTTCTTCTTCAAGAGATTCATCCATATTACAATAACGAACGGAGAATGTTCATGAGTGAATGAATATGTGATTCCTGTCAACAAAGTTAATAAAGTATAAAACACACCAGCATGGAAACAAAACTAAGATGAATTCTTGGAAAATATCAACAGAATTTCATAAATCAAGAAATTTGGATGCATTTGTTAGTTAAAGGCATTCAATATTTATTTCATTCGGGTCGGGAGGGGTTTAGAAGTAAATTTATGTTCTCAAGGGTTTATAACATAAAGCAACACAGCACTCACTGATGTGAAGTATAGGCGTCTTCGCACATGGCGTTTGGGTGTCTTTACATTTGCATACCTAGAAGAGAATAAACAATATGAGAATACAACATAGTGTATAGCATAAAATAAAAACAATATTTACTTCGGATCCAAACGATATTTGGTCTCTTTATCATCATCATCTTGGTCCATTGATATATCGCTCAAAGTGATGGATTTTCTTACTTCATCATTCTTATGCTTGGCATCTGAATTTTCCATTTCAGTTTTCATGAATGACGAATCGTGGTCTTTCAGCAACACTAATGACTTCTGTTAGATTAATTATTTAATTAATCAAATATAGATCGACATAATTAATTATTAATTAATTATATTATGGTCTATTGTTATTAAACATTAAATAGATGAATTGTTTGATTGAGTTTTGTGTTTGAATGGACCGTAATGGGTTGGACCATTCAGTTAAGCCCAATGAGAGGTCCTTGTCCTCAGCTGTTTAGCTATTTAAATGTCTTCCCATTAGACAATTAACTCACTCCGAAAATCCTAAACGGCAATGGGGATAGTAATTCTCTCATACTCACACTCTTCCGACAACCGTCTCTTCAATCTTATAATGTACACGGTTCTAATCAATCTTATAATGTACACGGTTCTAATTATTCTTGATTATTGTTAGATTAAACAATATGTTATAATTTGTATCTATTAAATTTATTTAAATCCTTCAATTGGTATCAGAGCCCCGTAGATATGTTTTATAGTTATTGCTTGAATTATATGATTTGAATTAGTGTATGGTTTCTATTTGTTTTGAGTTAGGCAAGTTAAATAATTAAATCTGATACACTAATTTTATATAATTCATGTTGAATGTAAATGGTGGATTTTCTTAAAATTAGAGAAATTTTAAATCTAATATTTAAATAATTTGATCTAATGATTTTAAAAATTTATTGACATCTAAATTTCATATTTAGAATCAAGGTATATTATATTTTAGGTGTATATTAGTAAAAGGTTGTTATGTCTCACCTAAGGTTTGATTCCTAAGAGTTCATTACTAGAAATACAAAGATTACCTGTGGATTTTCCTACATAAAAAGTTCCGCAGCTATTCCTGCGACTTTTCCTGCGCCTTTATATTGTGAAATATCATTTTCTGCGAAAACTAAAATAGCAGCAAATTTCGCAGGAATTCCTGAGACTTTAGCTGCGACTTTAAACTTAGTAAAATATAAATCTCCTGCGGATTTAACTGCGACACCTTTCGCAGGAAATTATCCATCGAAACCACAAAATTCTCTGGAAATGTCGCAGGAATTGCTGCAATGCTTGCTGCGGAATTTGCTGTAAGTTTTTCTGCGACTTTTGCTACGAATTATTTAGTTTATTTTTCATTTTTATTATATTTTTACTATTAGTAAATATAATTATAAAACACTTAATTCCAAGAATATCTTTGCAACATTTTTAAATTTTATATTAAATCTTAATTTTTTTAAAGAAAGTTTTATAATATTAATTGAATTTTTTTAATTACTTTTTAAAGAAAATTTATTTATTTAATACTTTTTTATTGTTGTAAAAATCAGAAAAATAAAAAAAAATAAGTTTATGATATAATTGTAAAATATAAGTTTATTTATTTAATAATTTTTTATTGTTGTAAAAATTTAAAAAATTAAAAAATATAAGTTTATGATATAATTGTAAAAATATAAGTTTATGATATAATTATAAAAATATAAATTTATTTATTTAATTATATTTTTACTATTACTAAATAAAATTGTAAAATATAATTGACATATTGATTTTTTAGATTTATATATATACTATAAAAACAAACCTATTTTAAAATAATTTTCACAACAATTTTTTTTTTTTGCTTTATTGAATAATAATAGTTTTTTTTTAATTTTGTCAAAAATTATTTTTTATTTATTTTTTTAGATTTATTTTCTTTAAGATAATTTTAGTACATATTATTCTTATTTAAGACATTTTTTATGATTTCATAGTTGTTGCAATTTTTTTTTGAAAAATATTTATAAAATTAGAATGATATTTTAATTTCTATTTGTGCTATTTTATTAATTATTTTTAATGTGAATTGTGAAATTTTTTAATTTTAAATTAAATTTTAATAATTAATTTAAATTTATTAAAGAAAATATTTGTAAATTTAACATCATATAAAGCATTCTAGTAAATTTTATAACATCAAATAAATAATTGTAGTGATAACGTTATTTTTAATTTTAATTTTATATTATCATATCACATGTAAAAGAATTAGCAATTGAAACTTAGAAGTGAATGAATAGTATTTTTCTCTGTTTTTAATTCAACTAATATAAAAAAATAAAAACTGGGCTGAACCGATAATGGACAGACCCATATTTACATATATAAGAAACTATATCAATTAGGGTTTTTCTCTCTGAGGTTTTCATCACCGCACGGAACGAGCTTTAGCACTAGCAGCAGCAATGGTGAGTAAACTCTACGAACTCAGATCCTTATCTCTATTTCTTCACTATCTTCATTTATCTGATTTCAATAATACATAAACCAAGATTTGTGCAACTAACACTTATAATCACCGTGTTTGTTTTCTTAGGGTCCCAAAAAGGGTGTTAAAGCTCCAGTTGCAGCTTCCAAGAAGAAACCCGTAAGTAACTGGTTCAATATCAATGTTACTTACGATTCAATTTTTGTTTTGTTTTGAGAATAATTTTATTTGGTTTATGCATTTATCAGGAGAAAGTTACAAACCCCCGTTTCTCGAAAAGCCCGAAGCAATTCGAAATTGGTGGGGCATTGCCTCCTAAGAGGGATTTGACTAGATTCGTGATGTGGCCAAAGGATGTTCAGGTTCAGAGGAAGAAGAGAATTCTGAAGCAGAGGTTGAAGGTTCCCCCAGCTTTGAACCAGTTCACAAAAACTCTTGGCAAAAATCTAGGTCAGTAATGAACTCTAATTATATGTCTGGAATTGGTTTTGTTGTCACATTTGTGTGCAGTTTGAGACATTATTGTTGTTTTCGGATTTGAAATATTGGCACAAGGAAATTATCGGGACGAGTCGCGTACTAGGTCGCTTTCTTTAAGACGTTTCGCCGTACTGACAAAATATGCAAAGCAGTCGATTTACGACGACGCCTCCAGGATAAAACAGTCCGTTCAAAATTACGATTATCAGTTGCACACTGATAAATCGCTCTAGAAATACACCTTTCTAAATTATCTGGCGAAAATAGCCAGTCCAGTATCTGGCTGTAATAGCCAGTCGAAAAAACCAAGAAAAGAAAATTGTTTAGATGAAGAGAATTAAGGGAGAGAGAGGGAAATCAAAATTCGTGTGAATTTGTGAAATCTGGAGTGCTCACTACTGAATTTTTACCCTTTATTTATAGGTAGCTAGTGAGGCTGATATTTCCATTCCTCCAATGTGGGACTAAAATGAATTTTGTCAAATTCACTTTCCAATTCCCATTAATATAATTCCAACATCCAATGTGGGACTAACATGACTCTTTTCAAATTCACTTTCCAATTCCCATTAATATAATTCTAACATCCAATGTGGGACTAAAATGAATCTTTTCAAATTCACTTTTCAATTTCTATTACTATAATTATTATAGTTCCAACAATCCCCCACTTGAATTTAAAGGAAATTTTAGAAGTCCGTCAAACGTTTCTAAGATTGTGCATAAGCAAAGGTGTCTACGACTTGAACCTTAGCGTAGCGAGTAGGATTCTGATTCAACAAGAGTGACACTATTGTCTTGAACTCTATCTCGGACATCAGACCCGCACACAACCTTTTCGTAAGGTGTATTCTTATAGCCCGTGCTTTAGTGGCCTTGCACGTGTATCCCGGTTTAGTGAATGCTCTAGGAATTCTGCCTCGAAATTCCATAGGAACCGGCCTCAGTTCCACAGTCACATAGGTGAATCTATCAAGAGTACTCCTGTAGCCTAGGTACTCCCTCATACAGAGAATAGATATCATTAAGAGTTTCTATCATCTCATCCTGTCATTACTTCAGGATTCATGCTTTACTTGCATGATCATTTTCATATTACTCACAACTTGTTATTACCCATTGAACCTAAGTCTTGGGATCTCCAGTCATTTAGGTCGGGTTACCATCATGAGTAACTAATTGCTTCATAGGCATTAGTCCCATCTTTTTGGATGTATTATGGACTTTCTCTCTAGCTAATCCTTTCGTCAAAGGATCTGCTAAGTTCTCATCAGTGCGTACATGATCCACTCTCACAACTCCTTTAGATATACAATCTCTAACAGTGCTATGTTTTCTTCTAATTTGACGTCTTTTACCATTATAGTAACGGTTCTCAACTTTTGCAATAGCCGCGGTACTATCGCAGTGGATCAACACAGCTGGTATAGGTTTTTCCCATAAAGGGATCTCAGCTAGCAAGCATCTTAACCAACTTGCTTCTTCACTAGCTGTAGCTAATGCTATCATCTCAGACTCCATTGTGGACTGTGCCAGAATGGTCTATTTCTTTGATTTCCAAGATACAGCTCCTCCGGCTATACTAAATATATAACCACTAGTAGCTTTGGAGTCATCCGATAAGGTGTTCCAATATGCATCACTATACCCTTCTAGTACAGCAGGAAATTTCTGATAGTGTAGGCCGAGGTCCATAGTCCTTTTAAGGCACCTCATTACTCGCTCAATAGCTTGCCAATGTTCGTTACTCGGCCTACTTGTAAATCTGCACAACAATCCTACGACATATGCAATGTCGGGTCTAGTACAATCAGTGGCATACCTAAGACTGCCAATGATGCTCGCATATTCTGCTTGTTTGACACTTTCTCCAGTGTTCTTAAACAGTTTCACACTTGGATCATACGGAGTGCATGCAGGTTTACAATCAAAGTATTTATATTTCTTTAAGATCTTCTCCACATAGTGAGATTGATCCAAAGAAATTCCTTGGTCGGATCTCGTGATCTTGATACCCAAGATCACGCTTGCTTCTCCGAGGTCTTTCATATCAAAGTTATTGCATAACAATGATTTCATATCATTAATGGCCTGAATGTTTGATCCAAATATAAGTAGATCGTCTACATATAGACATATGATAGTACAAATGCGATTCTCAGATTTGTAATAGACGCACTTGTCACTTTCATTCACTTTGTACCCATTAATTATCATTAAGTTATCAAACTTTTCATGCCATTGTTTAGGGGCTTGTTTTAGTCCATACAGAGACTTATCTAACTTACAGACCTTGCTTTCTTGTCCTTGGATTACAAATCCTTCTGGTTGTTCCATATAAATTTCTTCTTCTAAGTCACCGTTTAAAAAAGTTGTTTTAACATCCATTTGGTGTACTATTAAGTTATAAATGGCTGCTATTGAAATGAGTACCCTAATGGATGTAATTCTAGTGACTGGAGAAAAGGTGTCGAAGAAATATATATTTTCTCTTTGTCTAAAACCCTTGGCTACAAGGCGTGCCTTGTATTTCTCAATCGTTTCATCAGGTTTTAGTTTCTTTTTCAAAACCCATTTACAACCAATTGGTTTGCAACCCGGAGGTAAGTTTACTAAGTGCCAGGTCTTGTTAGATTCTAGAGAATCTATCTCATCATTAATGGCTTCTTGCCATAAGTCTGCATCCATAGATGACAGTGCTTCTTGAAGATTTGTTGGATCTTCTTCTACATTATAGGCCGCATAATCGGGCCCATAGTCTTTAGCAACTCTTGCTCTTTTACTTCTTCGAAGCTCTGTTTCTACATTGTCGCTGCTTTCAGTGCTTTTTATCACAGGAATGTGACTCGATTGTGTGCCCCCACTATTTCTCGATTTGAAGGGAAATTTGTCTTCAAAGAATTCAACATCGTTTGATTCTATGATTACTCTGGCATTTAGGTCATAAAACCTGTATGCCTTACTGTTTGCTGCATACCCAATGAATACGCATTCATAGGCTCTACTAGCGAGTTTAACTCGTTTCGGGTCCGGAATTCTGACATAAGCCAGGCAGCCCCAAGTTCTCAAATAAGACAAATTTGGTTGTCTTTTCTTTAATATCTCATAAGGTGAGATCTTACTTTTCGACTTGGGAACTTTATTCAGGACATAACAAACAGTCAATAAAATTTCCCCCCACCAGTGAGGTGCAGCACCAGAATTTAACATTATTGCAACTACAAGTTCAGTAAGAGTCCTATTCTTTCTTTCTGCTTTACCATTCATTTCAGGAGAGTATGGAGCAGTCGTTTCATGTATAATACCATGTTCAGCATAAAAATCATTAAACAAGCTAGAGTCATATTCGGTTCCCCTATCACTGCGAAGTCTCTTAATCTTCTTGTTAAATTGATTCTCAATTTCAGTTACATACACCTTAAACATGTCAAGCGCTTCACTTTTATTCTTCATTAGATATACATAAGTATAATCAGAGCAATCGTCAATAAAAGTGATAAAATAACGTTTATTATTTCTAGTTAAACTTCCATCTAATTCACATATATCAGAGTGTATAAGATCTAGGGGATCAGATTCTTTTATTATTGATTTATGTGAAGTCTTTGTTATTTTAGCTTGACTGCAAAATTCACATTTATTGGAATCATTAATATTTAGTTTAGGGATTAGGCCTATGTTGCTTGCATTAGAAATGATTCGTTTATTAACGTGACAAAGTCTACCATGCCAAATATTAAAATCACACAAAAAGTAAACAGAAGGAGAAGTTTTATTCAAATCAACATTCAACTTAAACATGCCATCAGTGGCGTACCCTTTTCCCACAAAAATACCATTCTTAGTGATGGTGTACAAATCTGCCCCTAAAGTTTGACTGAACCCAACCTTATTCAGAAGAAAACCAGAAACAAGATTCTTCCTAATTTCAGGAACATGCATGACGTCCTTCAAGATCAAAGTCTTTCCTGAAGTGAACTTCAGTTCAACATCTCCAATTCCAGCAACATTAGTGGTGTGAGCATCTCCCAACAACACTTTCTTATCTTCAGTATTCATGTATGTCTTGAACATAGCACGATCATAGCAGACATGACGAGTGACGCCAATGTCTATCCACCAACCGTCACTTCCACCAACCATGTTGATTTCAGTGATCATGGCAATTAGTTGCTCATCAGTCAGGTTAACATGTGTATTTGAGCCAGCTGCAGGTTTAGGCCTGCTCCTACATTTCTTTGCCATATGACCCGGTTTCCCACAATTGTAGCAAGAGAAAACCGGAGCATCATTTCTTTGAGGTAGTGGCTGTTGCCTAGCAAACGGAGCCGATGGGGCCCTAGAGGGATTCCCATTCTTAGTTCGGTTCATAGCACAGCGGTTCTGATTCTTTAAAGGTTTGCACGTAGGCTTCAGAACCGCACCAAACTTCTTTTTGTTGTCGTAAACAACTAAGACTTCTTCTTTCTGATCTTGTTTCCGAGCCTCCTCTTCAATTCGGAGGCGAGTAATCAGACTCTCGATTGAAAATTCTTTTGTTTTGTGACGAAGTATATTTTTGAAATCTTTCCAACCAGGGGGCAGTTTGTCAATAATTACAGCAATTTGAAATTGTTCATTAAGGGGCATACCTTCTGTAATAATCTCATGAGCAATCTTCTGAATTTCGTGGCTTTGAGTTTCCACCGACTTCTCATCCACCATCTTGTAGTTCAAGTAGCGGCTGACAGCAAATTTCTTCGCACCTGCTTCTTCAGTATCATATTTCCTTTTCAGAGCCCCCCATACCTGTTTAGCAGTTCTGTAGCTACTGTAGTAGTCGTACAGATCATCAGCAAGGCTGTTCAGAATGTGATTTTTGCACAGATAATCATTCTCGTGCCATAAGGCGATTTCTTTTCGGAGCTGCAGATCATCTGCTGCAGCCTTAGCTTTTGCAGCATCTGAGTCAAACATTTTGGAAGTCCCATCTGAATCT